AAATGGCAGCGGCGGTTGGTAACAGTAGACAGTTATTTAGACTTATTAAGGAGACTGGGAGGGAAAGGTCAATAACAGTTAGTGAGGCTATAGCGGGAAGGACGGATCTGCGATTCACTCGCAGGGGAGACGACTTGAACGATGGGCAGAACACTTCGAGGAACAGTTTAACTGGCCTCCGGCCACTATTCCCTCGCCCGCTATCAAGTCGGATCCTTAATGGAACATTGAGATAGGCTCCCCAACACTAGGAGAAGTCGAGAAAGCTGTTGGTAACCTTAAAGTAGGACAGGCGGCAGGACCAAACGGACTAATTCCAGAGGTATGCAAGAATGGTGTTAAGGTGCACACTTAGGTTAACGGATGTGTTAGCCAGTGTATGGGAATCAAATACGATCCCCTCTGACTTGTCTAAATCACTGATTATCCCTGTCTTCAAGAAAGGTGACAAGTCCTCTCGTGATAACCAGAGAGGAATGAGCCTGGCTAACATAGTGTCTAAGATTCTAGGTTCTATAATTCTTCGACGCCTGAGTGGAGCTCGGAAACAGCAAGCGCGAGAAAACCATGCATGCGGGATTTAGACCCGGCCGCTGGTGTATCTACCAAATATTCACACTACGCCAGGTTTTGGAACACACACGCTTACCGACGCCCAACACTGGCTGTATTTCTCTACCTGAAGGTGGCATTCGACTCCGTTGATCGAGAAGCTTTATGGCAGTGTCTCTCAGTGAAAGGCGTGCCAAGTAAATACATCACCCTATTGAAGGCTCTCTACTCGAACACTTGTGGGAGTGTTAGGGCCGATGGTGAGATGTCCAGGCAGCTACGCTCGTCGAGTGGTGTCTGTCAAGGGTGCCCACTCTCTCCATTCTTATTCAATTTCATCATAGATACTCTTATGGAGATCTCTCTCTCGTCACCTGGTTACACAGAGGTTGACCTAATCGTAGGAGAATTTTCGTTAGACCTAGAATACGCAGATGACACAGTCCTATTATGTGAAGACACTGACAAGATGCAGTCTTCTGAACACTTTGAGTGGCCATTTTGAGGATGTTTGAGATGCGTTTCTCATCATCCAAATGCAAATTGCTGCTCCAGGATTGATCTTCAACTCTGCCACGGCTAACAATAGACAGTGTAGTGGTTGAGTGTGTCGACCACTTCACTTACCACCTGGAAAGTAGGATCAACCCTGCATTGGTGGGTCAGTTGCCGATGAAATCTATGCACAGATACAAAAGGCTTGGTTGGCTTTTGCCAATTTACGCCATCTATGGCGCCGCCGTGATATCCGTTTGTCTATTAAGGGTCGCGTGTACTGCACAGCAGTCCGCTCTGTTCTACTGTATACCTGTGAAACATGGCCATTGAAGGTGGAGGACATGAGAAGGCTTCATGTGTTTGACCACCGTTGCCTTCGTAGTATAGGCCGTCGTATTCCGTGGTGTCACCATGTGAGTAATGCAGAAGTTAGGAGAAGAGGGAAGTCAGTTGACGAGGTTGTGAACCTTCATTGACTGAGATGATTGGCTCCGACACATGTTATGTATGCCTAGTCACCGATCGTCTCGTCACACAATGTTGGCTGAAGTAGGTCAGGGCTGCAAAAAGGCCTAAGATGGCCAGACTAAAACATGGTATCAATGTATGAAATCTTTGACTGTTGGTTTGAGCCATGTATGACGATGCAGACTGGGTGGTTGGGGTCCACGGGACAAGAAGAACCAGTGGTTGGAGACTGTAGGTGATCACATGGCTGAGAACAGATGTCAGTGGTGCAGAAGTGTACACACATTATCCTCATCTTAACGCCATGCCAAATCTCACTATTTCTTCATTCTTCCATTCTCTCTTTTAGTACTTTATATTTCTCTTGACTGACTTTTTTCATCTTCATCTTTCACCTCACTACCTTTCTACTTGACGCACTGAAAAGAGATGTGGCAACTCAGACGGTTACGCATTAATGGCTGTTCTGATGTTGATATTGTTGATGATGACTTTGTTATCACCCATCTACTGCTCGCATATTTTTCGCATGCTTGTATGGAGTGTGATAAGTTGAACCGACTCACTTCTGTACAAGATTCTATATTGCCTTGGTCTGTTTGTAAAATGAGTATTCATAAATGTAACATCTTTTGCCAATCGTGTGCAATATGTTGTACTAACTTGTGGTTACGTATACTACATGTGATGCAGGCCTGATATTCGAATGCCTGTTTAGACGTATTGTACCTCAGTTTTCTTCGGTGTTCTGTTTGCTTTTGAAATATGGTTGTTTAAGCTGAAGGACTTACGTAGACTTCAGGTATTTAACCATGCTGCCCTGGAAGCACTGTTCTTATGTTAAAACGAGAGATATCTTCGTAACCCCAATGCTCAGTTTAAAGTCGGGCGATGAAGGTGGATCAGCAGATAAAATTGTGAACCTTCATTGACTGAGACGGTTGGCGTTATGTCCTACTTGCCGAGCCATTATGTGGCGTTAACTTTAGTAGAAGGATCATTTTGGCAGAAAAGTATGTCATAACACAGCACCAGTCAGTGGGGTCTGTGACTTGGTGTAAACCATGTAATGAAATATCACTTGCATTTTTTGAGTTTGTAAGTCATTCAGAGTGGAAACTTTTGATGTGGTTCACTAGTACAGATGCATTCGTACCCTATCTATGAATATCTATAATTTTATCTTTGTGTTCTCTTCGCTACTTTTTGTTCTCACCTACCTTTTATTACTACTTATACTATTTTTGGTTTGGTCTTGATGCGTGTCGATCGATATGTAGCCACTGCCGGTCCTGCTTTTGTTAATGCCTGCCTTAAATACACACACAATATGTCGGTGTTTTAGTTAGTTAGGTTTGTTGTTGGATTTAACATGAGGTCGAGACATTGGAAACACTAACATGTGAATTGCACCTTACTTTCATTGGGCGACAAACACCCCTTTCATAGAATAAATTCGTCGGTAAGCCATCGAGTTGGAAGTTCGGTAAATTATTTTATCGGTAAAGTTGTTGATCGAAGATAATAAAAACAAGAAGAGATAAAAATGAAAGGATTCGCAGATAGCCAAGAAGAATTGACATTAAAGCGGTATGTTGTTGGGTACTTTAAGATTGATGTGTTTAAATTACCTGACAAATAAATGTGTTGGTGATTACGGAGCTCCCATACACGTAATCTCAAAATTTATGGCTCATATGTAGTTTCCTTAGAGAAACTTATCTCTGACGATGAAAAACTGTTGGGAAGGCAAGAGAAACAGTTTGTATGGTGAGCTTTTCTAACTAGCTTTTTCTAAAAGGGAAAGGTAAGATCTGTGAATGTTTTTTGCTTGAGAACATCTTGTCATCAAATGTGCAACAAGTTAGTATTACAACCTGGTACTCATAACTGTGTCAGAAGACATTATTTGCAATGCAACAGTAGCTACTTTTGCTCGTTGCCTTTTTTACTATCTGACTCAGGTACAGTAAGACTACAAAGAGCAAGTTCCTCAAACAGTTTAACTGAAGTGGGTCTAAGCGATGAACTGGTTCCACCAAGCAACGGAAAGTTGGAAATTATTGTGCTTTTGTTCAGGTGGAAGCTGGAGTTGGTGTACAATCCGCAGCACAATATCTCTAAGTCAGTCACATACCTCACCGAACAAAGCTGATCTGAAAATGTGTGGTGTTAGTGTTCTATCATTCAGAAACAGCAATTCTTTCATAAACCTTAAAAATTCCCAGGTACTGCGGATTTGATTACCATCATTGATTTACTCCATAGTATCGTTGTATTCTTTCAGTGAAATCCAATAATGATAAACTAGAGTGAAACAAAACATTTTGCCAGTGCAGGAACTATCTGAGAAATGTACCTTGCCTTAGAATATCCTTAAACCGTTGAATTAGCCACTCCATATGCAGTTCGTAAATAATATTTGGAAAAGTTGAAAGTGTCCTCTTCATTGGAGTGTTTGTACACTTTTGTGTTATCTGCATGCCAAAACGACGACAATGACTGATATCAACCACGAAATAAATGTCAAAAAGACAATAACATTGAACTGACTTCTAAAATTTAATTTTAAAAAAAATCAGTGTTTATTACTTTTAACTGGTACAACATACTATAAGGGAACTCAGTGCATTCACCTTATTTTGCTACAGTTATATAAGCATCATATCGTTTCCCAGCCGAACCTGTGACAGCAATCGGTCTATATCCTCAACAATTACAAACATAAAGGGGACTTTATCGGTGTCTTATTACGTAGATGAGAATATTATCTTTGAGTAAAGTGAAATGCCAGGACACTATGCATGGAATGTTTCAAACTTGCGACTTAAAATTTGTGTAGTGGTTTGTTTCCGGTAACTAGAACGTTTTTTGTTTCTACTACGTAGCATCAACTTTAAATCCACTGTGTCTATCAGTGTTCATTATTATTTTAGGGTTGATAAGCTATCTAGTTCTATTCCTCCTACCTCCATAGTCATTAAATATCTTGTAGGGTTTGTTTTAACGAGAGGTACATTTTAAAGCCTTTTTAATACAACTATATAGGCATGTTGTAAATGATAGCCTGACCTAAGGATGTAATAGTATTGGTATGTAGTCATTCTGTTTTGCTTTTATCTGTTAAAATGGCTTAGCATAAGATTTCTAGTTTGTATTCAAAGGGGTTTAGTTTCTTTGATCACTCTTAGTTCATAATTTTTCTTTTGGAAGATGTTCTGTGGACCTAGTTATCACTATGTGGGACCGTGGTTCATTAGTTTAGGGAGATGATTACTAACCATTGGGCCACGGGTTTGAGCCCCGCTCCACCTGCCGAGGTTTTGGCAACTGGGTAGTATCAGTAACTCTCACACAATACGTGTGACTCTTTGCCCACTGTACGAATATACACAAGGCTGCTGAGTGCATTTTGATTTCGATTCGCCATAGTTCTGGAATTTTCTCGATTTCGAGTTATCATTATCGCTTTATTTTTTCAGATATGGGGTCTTCCGAAGCTAGCACACGTCGTCGAGTTAAGTTGTATATGTTAAATGATGAGCGACAATGGGATGATAAAGGCACCGGTCATGTATCTGCATTGTACACAGAACAGGACAATATGGCACTTGTAGTGATATCAGAAACAGATGGATCTTATTTGCTGGAATCCAAAATACAACCAGATACGGCGTATCAAAAACAGCAAGAAACATTAATAGTTTGGTCGGAAGGTGAAAACATGGATTTAGCATTATCTTTCCAGGAAAAAGTTGGATGCGATGACGTATGGGAAAAAATTTGCGCTGTACAAGGAAAAGATCCATCAGTAGAGATTACTCAGGAAGTTATCGATGAGTCGGATGATGTAGATGATACGGATGGATATACGCCCACTATGATGCAGAGTATTCAGCCTCTTAGTCTTCCACCATGTGAACTGAGTCGTCTCGAGGAAATCGTTGATATGGTTAGCCAAGCTGTTGCATCACCTCCAAAACGGGAGCGATTAGTCGCCCTTTTGGAATCAACAAACTATCTACGTCAATTAGTCGATGTTTTTCACAAAGCAGAAGATTTAGAAGATATGGAATCATTGCATCATCTATACGAGATAATGCGACAGCTTATACTAGTAAATAAACATAGTCTGTACGAGAATTTATTCGCTGATGATATGTTGATGGATGTGATTGGCATTCTGGAATATAATCCTTCTGGACGTACCAAGCACAGGGATTTTCTCAAAAACAAAGCTACTTTTAAAGAAGTACTACCATTGCACAATACAGACTTGGTAACTAAAATACATCAAACATACCGTGTTCAGTACATACAAGATTGTTGTCTCCCTCCCCCTTGCTTGTTCGATGAACATACACTTTCCCAGCTTAAAGCATTTGTTTCTATAAACAAAATGGAAATTATACGGGCTCTTCAAGAAGATGAAGAGTTTATGTGTCGACTGTTTACTCGCCTAAAGGCAGCAGATACAGATCTAACTCATCGTAGAGATTTATCGCTTTTTGTGAAGGAATTTTGCAATATTTCTATCCAAACGGATCAAAAAGAAAGTTTTCTGAGCTGCTTACTTCAGCATGGAGCACTGAGAACGGCTGAAGTACTACTTGCAATTGATGACCGTGACATTAGATCAGCTGCTCTTGAAATTCTACAGGCATTTATTGAACATCAACCTTCTGTTGTACGAGAATACGTATTTAGAGAAACTGCTCCTTTCCGCAAGGATGAGGAACTACTCATCAATCTGATGATAAATCAATTGCTCTCTGACCCAGATCCAGGTAGGTTCTTTTATAGATTAATATTCAAGATACTTTTCTTAGAACTCAGCGATGCCTTTCTTCTGGGATACATGTTGCGCATTCTTATCGATCCAGATAATATGAACAACTCGGGTGTGGTAAGTTACTGTTTTGTTTAGATGTATGTGTATATGTAGTGATGGCTCAGAAGTGAACGTGTAGCCATCAGATTTCTCTTCAGGTCATTGTTTAAACTAATTGGTCTACGAGATTTAAATAATTTAGTACTTCCTGAAAATGGGTCGCTTGCGAATATATCATTGACAACTTAGCAATTAAATAACGATACACTGGACTATGAACCACGCTTGCCGTTATCGCTGGGTGTTTCTATCTGACCGCCCTAGCGTCTTTAGGTAGAGTGTGGTCGTAACCGATAACTTACTGTTTTAAATTCAAGTCACAAGGCAAAGGCCAAAGCAGAATAGGATCTTGTACACAAATGAGTCGGTTCAACGTATCACACTCCATACAAGCACGCAAAAAATATGTGAGCAGAAGATGGGTGATTATCAAAGTAAACAAAAATGTATGGGGAAGAGAGGACTTGAAAATGAAGGTTGGTGAAAATGTTCAAACTTTCGAAAGTGTCTAAGAGTGGTTACATTTCTCCCCCGGTGACTGATCCCTAACCATGTCACCAAGATTAACATACCAAATACTCCAGTCAGGTAGTCTACATCTGCCTACGTGGCTCATACCAACAATCATAGACTTCATGGACATGTGCCACTTCTTGGTGTGATCATCCTGAGCCTTCTCTCATCCGAATCCTACTTCGTTTAGCATCGTATGCTGAGGTAGGTGGTAGCTCCACATGTGCAACGCACGTCCAAGCCATCTCAGTCTGTGAAGGTTCACAACCTCATTGACTTACTGCCTTCTTTGCTTAGTATACTCCGCCTAACGTCACCATTGATTATGGTGATTCCACCACATGCGAACACTGCTGCGAAAGCACATGTATTCGGAAAATTGTAATCTCCGCATACCAACTATCGATGGCCATATGTCACAGCCGTATAATAGGATTGCCGGAAGTGTAGTGCAGTCTACTCGTTCTTTGACACGTCGGAAATATCGTCAGCGTACTCCAAGCTAACCAGGTGCCCTCCGAGCAGATCGATCCCCATGGATTTAAAAACACCTAGAGTAGTATTCACTAGTACGTCCCCGTTCAAACTGATTGTTGTGAGAACACTTGCAGACGTGCAAGTAACATCAACGCAGGGGTACAGAAGTAATAAGGCAGATATATCAATGAATAACATGGCACAGGAATTTGCCAGTTTTAGTTGTCACACTTTGTGGAGCTGCGGCTCATTAGTTCAGGCAGTGGGTCATTGGTTTAAACACCTCTCCAGTACCAACTATCGATGGCCATATCTCACAGCCGGATAATAAGATTGCCGGAAGTGTAGTGCAGTCTACTCATTCTTTGATACATCAGATATCTCGCTGACGCTTCAGATGACGCAATTTGGGAAGCGTGGAACAAGCTTTTTGTATTCAGGCTGTAATTTCATCAGCAACCAGCCTGTTCGAGCTGATGCAACTACCTAAGTATTTGAAGTAGTTGAGATATTCCTCCTTTTCACTCCCTGTCATTAAACTTAAAGTAGTTGCAGACCAGTCCTGGGGCATCATCTTAAATTTGACAATTGCATAACCCATGCATACGTTCCTAGATTCCTGTCTTTGCCTTGTCTATCACTCCAAGTCAACCAGATACCGTCCAGTGAGTAGATCAGTCCCTGTAAATTCAGACACCTAAGGTTATATTTAATAATACATGTAACAAAGTTGAGTAAGAAGGGTGACAGCGAGCATCTGTGGTGAACACCTGGTTGTCATCACTTCAGTTGACAACTCCCCATATGCCCTTACATAACTGTGTGAGTTCAAAAAGCCTTGATCAGTGCAACGTACTTACTCGGTACTCCCTTTACAGTTAAATAGTGTAACAACACCTCTCTGTTGAGAGTTGATTATCGTCTTCTGGTCAAAAAGTATGACAAGTGTTGGCCGCCAATAAGTATGCTTGCGTTCCTTAGCCAATTGAGGGGCGGAGACCTGATCAATGTAGCCTCATCCAGGTTTGTAACCCACCTCGTTTCCTTGAGTTTACTGTTCTCGAGTCTCAGTTAAATGCCGTATAACTATGGACCACTAGATCTAACTCACGATGTTAGTTGAACTGATCCTCCCACGACTGCCAGCAGAAGATTTATTTCTTTTTTATTGACTAGAGTAGTTGATGAAGGGGACTAGTCTGATGCCATTACCTCCGATTATCATAAGCTACGTAGTACCTTATTTACTCTACTCTATAATTTCTCACCTCCATCCTTAAAACTTCAAGTGGCAAACTGTCAGATCCTGTTGCTTTGCATCATTCCTGGTTAGAAAAAGCCTTCTCAACTTCGAGAGAAGTTGGAGGATTGCAATCTACGTCCCATTTAGGTTTGAGCTGAAGGCTTGGCAACTCAAGCGTTGCTGTGGAGCAGCTGAACTGTGTTTGAAGTGTTCCACCTAACGTTCTAGCTGTCTGTTCTGAAAGACTATTAAGATGCCATCGTTTTCGGGGATGGTTTCGCTAACCTTCATTTTCTTCTTCCCGGTATCCTAAATAAGCCTAAACAATTGCCAAGTATTACCTAGTGCTGATGGCTTCTCTGTCTCTCTCTTGTTACCCACCACTGCTCACAATCATTGCGAAGATCCTTAGTCAATTTACATTTTTACTGTTTCCGTTCCTCGTTGTGGTCAGAGCCAGGTGGAATGAGTCTTCTCACACTAATAAGTTCGGATGACATTGCAGAAATCCAATGACGTTTGATAACCTTTGGGTGTAGGTTACCAACTGTCTTTACCGCTGTTTATACAGCAGACTGAATACCATGCCAGGTTTCCTCAGGATGACCATTGCTGTCAAGTTCAGATAAATGCTTAGCTATCTCCTCCCTGAATGCATACTTGATGTTCTCATCTGCCAGTCAAGCACATACAGGGTTCACTGTTGCCTGTTTTCTGCGACCAGTAAAGCACAGACATGAACCTGTACTAACGCTTGATCGGAGTTCGATCATGTACTCCAGCAAGTGTCAGTCCTCCAACGATGGCTAATATCAATGTGCTCTATCTTTGTCCATCGTTGGTTTGATGTTGGTGTACTCCAGACAGGACAATGTATCTCCTTGTACTTGAAGTTGATACTGGTCAGAAACAAGCGGTTATCAGAACAAAATTGCAACAGACAGTCCTTGTTTTCGGTTCGTTAGTAGGGGATGCCGTAGATACCTCCAAGATGACTTTGCGATTGGCTCAGCTTTCTTAATTGGGCGTTAAAGTTACCTACTATTGTGACTGTATATGAACTCTTCGCTTTCAGCAGAATTGACAGCTTTTGGTAGAATTCATTTTTTGTACCATACGAACTGCAGTTGGTGGGCGTATAAACAGAGATTACGAATAGACATCGGCAAGTGGCATAGCCCTTTGCAGTTCTTACAGATGCATTCAGTCGGACAACACACAGAAGGTTTTGACTGGTATCCAACTGAGAAGTGCGCTTTCTACTCGAGAACTTAATTCCACGCCTACACCAGCCAGTCCTTAGGAGCTAGCCACTGAATCTCCGGATACTCGTAATGTAAATTTTGAAGATTCACTGCATTGGTCAGGTGAGATCAAGCGAATAATGATATATGAGTCTCAGAAACAACATAGATCAGTGACTCAAGATTCCAGAGTTTTGGCCAGAAACGCTTATTTTCCGATTGAGTATAGGGTTCAGACTTTGAGAGCTTCCATATGCAATTTTTAGCAAATTGTTCGGAGACTAGAAACGGTATTTCGTTGGTAATGGTCACAGAGTGAAAGAGGTTAAGGAAGTTGTAAGAGGCCTAATATCGGTATCAAAAAGTGAAAGAAAGAAAGGGAGGGGACAAAGGTAGTGCTGGTAGATTATGATTAATTGGGTTTCGTATACTGCTGGAGGCATGCGGATGGTTTGTACTTCCCGACCGCCTACACAGTAGAAGTTGTTTCTGAAAGGTATCTGAAACAGGAGGGGAATCAGTTTTCTGTGACTGTATAGTTCATGGGACATGTGCTTAAGACCTCTTATACACGAATGTTTTCATCATCATCATCATTACCAACATAGGACCAGGCATTACTGCGTAACGGTCCGAGTTGCCACACCTCATATCAGCACATCAAGTAAAAAGGTAGTGAGGTGAAGGATGAAGATAAGTGAATGCAGTCAAAAGAAATATAAAGTATGAGAAGAGAGGAAAGAGTATGAGAAGAGAGGAAAGACACGAATGTTTTAGGATTGTTGGATTACGATTTGATTATTTTAACGCATGCTAGGAAACGTCTGCACCGGAAAACCGCAGCTAGAGGGAATTAGCTAGTTTTGGTGCCGACCTGTTCTAATTCCCCTCTATTCTATCGGGAAGGCAGCATCAACACGATACCGCTGATCATTCCTGGGAAACACCTTGGTGCTCCCAAACCCCTCTTGCCAACAGTATGACTTCATTCTCGAACCCTCACCACAATGTAACTTCCAACATCATAACAGTAACTGTTTTTTTCCGACTACTAATCCAACCTACCTATCTAGTATTATTGGACCTTAAAGAAGAAGCATTTCAGTCAAAGTGGTTTTGATTATTGTGACATGCAAGCCTAATCACCACGTCAAAGTAGCAGCTATCGACCAAGTGCTGAAGCTGATGAGTCATAATACCTTTGGAATTAGTCTCAGATTACTTTCGTTGTGTTACTCGCTCACCCCGACGACCATTTGGTTTATAAATTATTCAACCTAATGAGGTTATTTAGCCTAGTGTGTTGTATCGGATTAATATGTACGTGATGGCTCAAGTGGATTGCACTCTGCAATCTGGAACCCACTAAAGCTTTTCAAAACTGGGGAAATTCACTGTATTTATTTGAATAGCACTTTTGTTATTTCAAACTGTAATTCACTAAATATACTCCTAAAGCTGAATTTCTGTTGACCAAAATTCTGTTCATTGACATTCACTCGTGGTAGTATTTTATGGCAAAATGGCTGTTTTGTTTTAAGCATCTATATTGCTTTTGTTCTGTATCTTTCTGTAGTTTAGACTTGCTAATAATAATTCTCTACTCACTTGTAGGGATAAACTTTATTTCTGTAATTCTGATGGAATAATTTATCCAATTTTTTTTGCTTTCTTTGAAATGAAGGGATGAAATAAATAAGATGATTTCAAGTGTTCCTGTTATCCTTTAAATTTTGTCAGTCTTTCATTAAAAAAATCATTATGGTGATTGATTCCCTAGAAGACCAATACTTCCTCATTGTAACTGTTTTGAATGCATGGAGTAGTTTTTGTTGAGTATTTTAGGCTTAAGAAATTGGGGAAATATAGTAGCAGTCGGTGAATATCCCCAAGCAGCTGTTGTTTCTCTTAACTCATGTGTAGACAGATACATCATGCGGGGAAAATGATTTAAAAGCAAAAACTAAGTATTAGAGTACAATTATATGGTAGTTTGTTTATTGATGATATTTCGCAGTGTTACGTCATCATGTCGAAGTAACTTCACCACCATAGAACCTCATTTTTATCGTTGTGATCCTTTCTGTTTCAAATGTTTACCGAAACCTACTACCCCTTCACTAAAAGACTGAATTTTGTAGAGTATCTTGGTGTCACAGTAAATGATATCCGAAACACTGGACTGTTTCATTGTAACATAATACGCGAACTAACAAAGGAAGGGCATGAGTAGATTTTGCTCAAATCCATGTATAACTGGTCTGTAAATGCGATTCATTAGCATAAATGATGCTACCTGTCAAAACATGCTTATACTTATTCATACAGCAAAATTTCTTACGAATGTCTAGTAGAGTTAATACTGAAACAGAAAAACGTTTTAGAATACCACCCCATGATGGTGATGATTTGTCTCCCAACCTAGAGGTGCTAACCGATTGGAATCCTCTTTGTACACTGCCTAACGTTAAGAGAATGTCTAAATAAGCATTATCAAAAGGTAGCTTGTAACGTGTTATGCCTCCCAAGAATATATAACATAATAGCATAAAGATTCTCCTACTGATTTTACACTAATAAAGAGTATGATTTTAGTTTCTAAGTGTTCTGTTGGGGTCAGCAAGTCGTCTAGCTAAGCAAGGGATGCATTTAAAGGTTTTTTTTGGATAACACAATCGCATGAGTCGAATTCAAAATACAAGTGGGACAATGGGTTCACATATTTGATATTGTTGTTGATTATATTGTTGCCACTGGTGAAACTTCCTGCTTATGATATCACCTATAGATAAGGAACTATAAGGCATTTCCCGTGCCTCATTAATTAAGTATCTCTACTTGACTTAGCCAAAGTGGTATATAAGAATAACACCAAAAAAGAGTAACATTTACTGAAATATCATTTTGGTCAGTAAGCAAGATGAAAATACAAGATGGTTATTAGATAACAGTATAACTACATTTCGTCCCCGGTGCTTGTTGACCACTGAGTAGGATTGATTGTAGGAGAGAAATATTAAGTAAGGCAAGAACTCACAAGGATGTATCATCTGACTATACCGATGTTATTATAAAAATTAACAAATGGGCATTTGGAAATAACAGTCAGAATTGTTGGAGTGAAGAATAGTATAACTAGAAACACTGATATCTTTTTAGTTTTTTAAATGCGAACGTTTGTCAAAAGCAGTATAAAGTAGGATAGTTAATTGCACTGATTACCCGTGCTAAACAATACATACGAGGTCTTATACTCGTCTATACAGCACATGTGATTCCTGGTCAGCAGTTGTGCCAAGATCTTAGGTTTTTTTTTGTATTTCGTAGTAAGGGGGAACTTATGAATAAGAGGCAGCGCCTATAAAGTAGTATTTTCACGATTTATGTATCGATTGAGGATGGATAATTCTACAATGTTATGAATGTTTTTCAGTCTTGTTGTTTAGAGTCTTCAAGTAGTATTTGACGCCATTTCACAGGCTGCAGATAATGAAACCTCCAATCGTTTTCTAAACTTAAGATGTTTTCAAACTCTTGTTAAAAAGCTATATATATATATATATATATATATATATATATATATATATATATATATATATATCGAATAGAAGGATTTTGAATCACTGGTCTAACATTTTACTGACTTAATCTGTTGGTCGTGGTTAGTAACCATGTTTCAATTTCTCCCATCTGTTTGGCGTACTAAACACAGTGGTTCTATCAGTCTCTATCAATATGAGATATCGGATTTCTACTCAATTCTCCATGTTGACGAACCTTTCATCAGCACATCAAGATGCAGTGCATTAAGACAATAAGATGATAGTGGCATAAATAAAAGCTTTACGAAGCCATAGGATGAAAAGAAGCGAGTATAATGCAAATAACGAAATATGATATAATGATGATAAGGTGTGAATGCACTTCTATCGTTGGGATATATTCTACAGCATGTAGATTGCACAAGCATGGTTTTCAGTTGGGACGCAAGCCTCAACCTTGAAGTGTGTACATGCCTCAGACAAACAGTCTATAACTTCCTGAATTGACACCATGTTTAGCCTGGTCATTCATAATATATCCCACTCTAACCATCAACTAACATATCTTGTTGAGTTAAACGGTTTTTTAAACCATTTATTCTAAAACTTACCTGGTGTTGCGTTGAGGGTAATCAGGAATACTCTGACCTTGAGTGCAGGCTTACTATTGCACTTCGGTGGGTTGAAACTCGCGACAAACTGTAGTCAGGTGCACTCGAGGCCTTGCAGTCCTCCCTTTAGACAAAGCCAGCTTGCTTAAATCTCGGGCTACCAAAACATTTTCTGCCAATTGTATTCCATCATATTCTTTCCCTTCAGTTTGTTTTAATCTTTTGGATGCCTTCTAAATGCATCATGTACTCGCTTATGTTTTTAAAATGTTTTCGAACTTTCATTTGGCAAGCTAAGAACAAAACAAAGGAAAAAAGTTTCACCGGTTGGAAATGGATTTGTATATGTTCAAAATCACACCACATTACTATTCTTAGGATACTTGTATGCGGGATTGTGAATTTCTGTGCTGCCTGTCTGAACTGCCTCCATTAAAATTACACTCGATTTTGTGTTTATTTCCGAACCGAGAACAGGTGCTAAAGTAACATTAGCCGCCCGTTTCACTTTTGTCCCTACAATACTGTTATTATTAAAACTATGTAGAACTAGTAATTATTTCTTTTAAAAATGTTGTACGGAAAATAAATTTGTTGAAATATTCCATGCTGAAAATTCCATACTGCATCATCATTGCTGTTTGGAATAAAGTGATTATTATTATTATTATTATTATTATTATTACTATCATTAAATATCAAAATTATATGCATTTTGATGAAAATTCAAAAGGAGTGTAATGCAAGTACTCTTTTTAAATGCATTGGACTTGATTAAGAGATGTAATCAAATGTGTCGGACACATCTACTTATCGGGTTGGGAACTCAGTGGTCGTTGGTTGGAATCCAGCCGCGGTTCAAATTATCATTTCACTTTCAATCATCACACAGTAACAATAATTACTTTACATTGAGTACTTTAAGCAGAACTTACTACCCTTTTATAAGATGATAGCTACTTTTGTCTCGTACTTTAGCAAGGTAGCTTTTATCAAAAAGATTACTCTGTTCACCTAGTAATTTTAGTGTTGAATGATTCATTTGAAAATAACTTTCATCTTGACAACTTTGTATTAGGATATTTTTTTTTGTAGTTATACGAATTCTATACTAAAGCTCCAATTTATGGCGTTGTTGTTGTAGTTTTTGTACTCATATCATAGTTTTGAATCTTATGTAATTGTATGTTGAATGCGTTATTATCATGAATGCAAACATGTATATGATTGTTCATAGATAGAGTAGTGGTGAGCCACACCGGTTGCCGACATATTATCTTGCTTTCCAAATGGAAATGGTAATTGAGACTTAAATGCTAAGGTAAGGGAGCTCAGTTACAAATCGATAAACAGTATTCTATCTTAATGATATTCACAAACTTATTGCACTGAGTATTCTATCGTAATTTCTCGCCTTCTGCTTTATTCTCAGAGTCTACAATTTATTGGACAATGGTTAATTAATGTAGCATACTTTTAACTAAAATATTTGCTTGCGTTATTCAACATCATTTTGCATATTTCCTTACAGAGTCCTATTACTTTTTAATATCATGTATGTGAAAATCAGATTTCTCATAATAGTTTACTTCTTTTTATATTGCAGCGTAGTGAAAAGACTGATTTTCTCAGCTTTTTTTATAAACGATGCGTCAATACACTTGTTCGACCATTATTCGATAATACTACAAAGGATGTATTGGAAAAAGGTAAGTAAAATGTGTTCAATGTTTATATTATCCTATTTCAATTTCAGATGATTATCATACAGCTTTGGTATTGAACCATATAATTGAACTGCTTACATTCTGCATTGAAACACATACATATCATATGAAAAATTACTGTTTCAATCGAGATCTTTTAAAACGTGTCCTTGTTCTATTACAGTCATCACATAAATTTCTTGTACTAGGTAAGTTTATGCGTCTATTATCTTCAATATAATCTATTAATTTTAGCTGCTTTACGTCTTCTTAGACGTGTTGTTCATATGAAAGAAGAATTTTACAATCGTTATTTGATCAAAAACAATCTTTTCAAACCTGTTATCATGCTTTTTGTTTCCAATGGATACCGTTATAATCTGTTGGATTCAGCTATCATTGAATTGTTCGATTATATTCGCTCTGAAGAGATTACTTCATTGATTACGCATATCATAGAAAATTATTGGGATATTTTGAAGAATATTAATTATGTACAGACATTTACAGATTTGAAACGTACTTATGACCATAGTCATCGTTCAGTGAGGCCAGTTGTTGGAACTGTCGGTCAACAAGCAACATTGGATGTGTAAGTTTCATGCATAGAAAAAAGATTCAGTTTTCATCAGAATTACGCAATATAGTTGTAAAACATTATGACAATTAAGCGTATATATTATTATTTGTCCCTTGGGTTCCTAGTGGGACATACGGCTTCAGTAACACCCCTCCATTTTACTCTCTTCTCTCTAGTCTTTTGAACCTGGCTCCACGACAGCCCACAAGCTCTCATTTCTTCCTCACTTGATCTCCTCCATGTCACCCTCACCTTGGATGCCCAACTCGTCATTTCCCATTTAGGTTCCACTCGAAGGTCTGGCCTGGCGCGTGATGTCCCCGAACAGTCTTCTCAGTGCATGTCCAATCCATCTCCACTTCTACTCCATATTGGTTTGGCGATAGGTTCTTGGTTGGTTCGTTGGCAAAATTCCTTGTTGCTCATTCTTATTATTCTGACCGTCTGAACTTCAGTAACGAGCCAGCGTAGGCAGTTGTTGATGAATGTCTGTAGTTTGTTGGAAATGCTTTCCGTAATGCGCCAAGTTTCTGAGTCATATAGAAGCACTGACTTGACGTTGGTGTTGAAAGTCCGGATCTTGTCCCACATGCTGAGTGCAGAAGATCTCCACCGTGGTTTCAGGTTAGTAAACGCCTGTCTTGCCTTTCCGATCCTGGCTGACTTTGACATCCTCGTCTGTGCCGCCTGTAGTTGAGACATTGCTGCCTAGATAGGTGAAAGAGGCTTCTTCCTTTCAGTTTCTCCCATTGATGGTGATCGAAGCTTGTTGTTGTTGGTTGGGTATCTTCATCACCTCTGTCTTCTCTATATTCACTTGAAGTCCCGTCTTCGCTGCCCTGCCTTGCCTCTTCTGTCAACTTGTTAGTTTTCGCCTGTAGATCTTCAAGTTTGTGTGATAGTAGACATAAGCTCTCGGCGAAATCCAAATCTTCTAGGATCTTTTCCCCGGTCCAGCCAGCATATCCCCTTCTTCTCTCTTCCAACTATTTGTTGCATAATGCAGTCCACTACAATCAGGAATATCATGGGTGATAGTAAACAGCCTTATTTTACTGCTTCCTGTCTTTACTTCAAAGGCATCACTGAGCTTCCCACTGTGAATTACTTGGCTGACATGTGGCATCTTCATATAATTGTTGAATGAGGCTGATAAAAGTTTGCGGTATTCTGTAGTGTTGAAGCAACTGCCGAATTACTGGTCGGTTGACGCTGTCAAAGGCCTTCTCAAAGTTGAGGTAGAGAGTTGACTGCCATTCTATACTCTGTTCTATGATGATGCGTAGCGTTGCAATTTGGTCGGCACATGATTTTTACTTCCTGAATCTAGTCAGCCTGTTCCGGTCGTAGTTTTGAATCTAGCGCATCCTTTAGCCTCTCCAGGATGATGCGGCTTAATATTTTGCTTGTTCTAGGTGGACAGGAGAGTGATTCCGCGCCAGTTCTTGCAAACACTGAGGTCTCCCTTCCTCGGGAGTTTGATAAGGTAACCCTTCTTCCAATCAATGGGTAGGTACCTTCCCTTCCTTCCACACCTGCAATAGTGGTGTGGTGTGAGCATGTCCGCTGTTGTCTCTGCATCTGTTTTCAGTGCTTCTGACGGGATTTCATCTGGTCCTGCTGCTTTCCCACATTTCAGTAGCTTTATGGCATTCAGGACTTCGACTTTTGTTGGGAGATTTGTGTTCACTGGTAGTTTCTGTGGCTGGGCTGCAGGTGGTGGTCGATTCAAAAGCTTCTTGAAGTGGTCAGCCCATTGTTTCCTTTGTTTCTCTTCTTTCGTAATTAAATTTCCGTCATCATCTTTTATTGCTTTCATCTGTGCTGCGTTGATCTCTTCCCTGGTAGATAGTAACCTGATCATTTGATACAATGTTGTCAGGTCTCTGTCTCTCCTACCTACAGCCTGTTCTGCTTCACTTGCCAGTGTGTCGTAGAAGTGTCTTCTGTCTTTGCGTGCACTCTTCTTCACTTCTTTGTCCAGTGTAGTGTTTTATACATTGTACTCAGTTCCTCTTGTCGTTGAGAATCCTTGCACTGGTTTATCTTCTGCTTCACCATCCTCCTCTCTCTGCTTTATCAGCTTCCATGTGTCCGTCGAGATCCATTCCTTGTCTTCTTTCTTCTTCCTTCCTAATACGGCTGTGCAGGTTTCTTTCCACGTGGCATTCAAAGAGTTCCAGTGCTCATCCACACAGGTTTGTTCAGGGATGTTGCTCGATATCTCCCATTTTGTCTTGATGGCTCATGTGAAGGTTTCCTTTGTAGTTTCGTCCTTCAGTTTCCGAGTGTTGTACTTGGGTTGAGGTCTATCATCAACTTCCTTGAAGGTTTCCAACTTGATTTTGAAGGTTTCTTGCACTAGATAGTGAATGGTATGAACCACCTACATCTGCTCCCCTTCTCGACCTTGTGTCAAGTAGGCTGGCTGCGTCTCCACTTTCTTGAGATTGAGATGAAGTCGATCTGACTTTTAGTGGGTCCTGGTGTCTGGCGAAGTTCATGTCGCTTTGTGGAAATTTTTGTGCTTGAACACACTGCCTTCAATCACCAAATTGTTGAATACACAGAATTCTGCAAACAGTTCTCCATTCTCATTCCTCATCTCACAGAGTGCTTCTCGGCCCATGGTTAGTTCACTTCCTGTGTTGTCCGCTCCAAGTTTGGCACTCATAAGCATATATATATAATCTGATTTTTGTTTTTATTGTAAGCTTTCTGTTTACTAAGGATGGTATTCATTTCATAGTTCAAAGAAATATGAAGCTGCATTGATCTTGGTGACTAGCAGAAGAATCCAAGACGCGCTTTTCGTCCTATTCGGGAGTCGTCAATTGGATATACCCGCACCTCAGTGAGTAATGTTGTTCCTACTGAGGCTTGGACTCAGTACCCTTCGCTTGAAATGTCAGCGTTATACACCAAGCCACTGGGTCACGATAACCACCTCTTGTGCAACGGATATCAGTTGTTGTAATGATACTTGTAATTTTCCGTTTGTATTGTGCTCCGGTGGCTTAATGGATGACGCTTTGCCGTTTGAAGCGATAGGTACTGGGTTTTAGCCTCACTGGGAACAACGTCACTCACTGGGGTGCAGGCACATCCGGCTGATGAGCCCCAGATAAGACGAAATATCTGTCCCGGATCCCTCTGCTAGCCACCAGGATTAATATAACATCATGAATGTCCGGGAGTAGCGGGGCATCCGAGCGTATCTGCCGACAGAGGTTGAGCAATTCGGCCCTGTATAGCAACCGGAAATTAAAAATATTACGAAAATATGAAACTTTTTTATTTTTACATAGTGATGAATACTTGTTTTAGGATATTCACATCCAGTTATTCCGTGAGCTACAGTTTTAATTGGTGATGAACACTTCTAGAACTAATCAGATATATAAACAAATCATCAAGTGATTTCACTTTTCTGTATGGTGGTGATATTCGAGCCAGTCTAGGCGTATTTACTTGGGCTTACAATTAATGCGTAAAAAGCTTATGATACTACTAGACTGTGCAAACTTTACTAGGTGGAACGGGTTTTGGACCCTGACCTATTGCTTGGGAATCGATTGCTCAGGCGAATGAACCACATCTCCGTTTCATATGATAAAGTTTCCTACGGAGAGTTGTTACATTTATTGTGCTTTGAAAATTGCTCAACTGATGCCCATTAGTATAATAGTTTACGTTTTTGACAATTTTAGACTGTCATTGGCTTCTTCTCGCTTCCAGCGGGATCCACGTGCCCTGGAAATGGAGGAAGAACAGTGGTTTGATCAAGATGAAGACGATGAAGAGGAAGAGGACGGAGATAATTTGTTCCCGCAACATTCATCACCATTGCTTAGTAGAACAACAAATACTTCAACCGGGGTAGTTGAAACTACTGTGACGAATGGTTTGTCAAATTTATCGTCTTATGGACTACATTCTGTAATCACTACTTCACCGGATTTGTTAGGTATTGTTACATCAACCGATACTCAATGTAGTTTTGCTTCTTTATCATCATCAACTGCACCAAGTAGTAATTCTAGTCTTGATTCATGTGCTAGTGTCTTACCTCATTCGCCTACTTTTTCACCAAAATCCAATGTTATGGACAATTTAACTGATAATTTATGTATATCTTCACGTTCAGCATCTTTGTGTGATAGACTACGCTTACGTCCTCATACTGTTCTTCTTAATGATGATAATGAATCTCCCACAACACGTCTTAATTTTACTCGTCAAACTCCTATAGCTATTCATATCAAATCATCTTTATGCAAAGAGCATAATGAGACATTAAATGATGCTTGTGAAATCAATAATCGATTGTCAGAACCAGACACTAATGTATCACACTCAAAAGATTCGAATCATATTGCTGATACTGAGTGCAAAGAAAATGTAACTTGTCCAAATTCAAATGACATACAAAATTTATCTATATCGATTCCTGTTATCACTGATATTTCTCCAAAAGTAAAACGGAATCACATTGATTCACGAATCGAAGGAGAACAATGCAGTTCAGTCCATGTAAAACGTTTGAAAAAATGCAAACAACCTAATCACAAATCACCATCCCAAGATTGTTACAAACTCAACGAAAAGTCAGCTGATTCAGAGGATGATTATCCTTATGAGCCTCCTGAAGAGATAAATGCCACCACCTCACTTGTCGTAGGTGAAAGTTGTAATTGCATACTTTTGAAATTAATTTACTTTTTGAATTAGTAACTCATTTCTTGTCTATTTTCCTTCTTGTTCATATACTACCTGATAAAATTATTTCATTTTTTTCAAATTATGCATATTTGTCACTGTTGCACAAAGTTATCATGTTTTCAAATAAGTCATTTTCCTCTGTTTTCATATCGTGTTAAACATAATTCCTCCTAATCCTTTCACTGACATTGTGCTTATGCATCTGTGCTGAAGCTATTTGCAATGTGCACCAATAAAACCCCGAAATCCAACACCACCCTGTAATGGACGCTGCTGATCAGGATGGATGTAAGTAGTATGTGTTGAGAAGGCGGCAGAAATCATAGGCAATTACCAGCAATGGGTAAGTATTCTGGTGGGTTTTCCCCCCTAGGCCGGTTTGCCCCTCCTTAGATGACCTAGACTACCCACCCTCCTACAGGTCATCCATATAAGCGCCATGCTTAGCGTGAACGCCCGACCAACATGAGGACCCGTATGCCAGGACCCCGGTCCCACGAAATCCCACATCCTGACCTCCAAGTAGCTAGATTACAGGCATACGCCACCACACCCAGCCAATACCAGCGGATCTTCGTCTATTCTCTGGAACTGCTGTATCGCCAGCTCCCTGTCCACCGGGCTATCAAACTCCACCTCCAGTCGTCCAATCATCATTTTCTGCCAAGTTTCCTCATCCACACGTTCCACGCCGTCATGGGCCGCTTTTACTCGACCTTTCAACAACGTGCGAAGCACCACGACCTTCGCTCCTGGACATCCGCCAGCTCTGTGGCCGACTCGAAGTCTCTAAAGGAGACTTTGATGTCTCCATCCTCGAACACTGCGTGCCGCGGAATCTTCATCACGTCCAAAAGCAGCGACACCAATTGTAGAAAACGACAAGACAGACGAAGGAAGGAATGTTTATTATTGACATCTTGTACAGTAGTCATCAAATATTGTAGACTTTCCACTAAGACAGTCATTTGCACAATGTGCTTCATTTCCCTTCTGCTTCTATCTTGATTTGCTCTTAATACACCCACATTGCCTCTTTCGTTTCCCTGAATAGAACCTTTACCCATCGCCTATGATTTGTGCCTCCCTCTCAGCATATACTGCTTATATCCATTCTGATCAGCAGCGTCCACTACATACCGGTTATAAGTCATGCTCGCACACATGTTTCGTGAATAGAATTAGAATTCATGAGACTGGTTACATTATTTTCCTTTGTGTCTAATCCTACACTATTTCTGTTTGCGTGAATTAGTAACTTTAAATGGAATCTCGTAAACTCAGGTGTCATTGTTATACACCTGGTCGTTCACTCGAAGTGATAAATCATTGTAATGAGTTCTAGCTGTACGACTTAATCCATTTCAACTGCAGTGATAGAACTTTAGAAAATTACTCTTTATTGATTTCATAAAACGTGACGATTTATAATTTATCGATTATCATCATCAGTGGATGATGAGCTTCACTACACTTGACTAAAAATAAATAACCTGATGAGTTCGCGAAAACCTTATAATAGATAAACTAAGATATTTATGCTTAACAGAATGTGAAACAGCGGCGTAATTTTAAAAATTGTTGATCAAAACCATTTAGAACATAAATGAGTAATATTAATGTTGTAAAAATAGAACTTGAGCACTGGTAAATTATCATTCAATCTAGATCGCTTATTTGATTTATAGCACACAGTGATATATTATTATCTACTGGATGACGTTTCGAGCAGAATCTGGTTATTCATAGTCATATCAAGGTAACCAGACAACTTTCAAACTACTTTTTTAAAGATCCAATAGCCCTTCATTCTTTCATTTCCATTGGTGGTAGGATTTTATAAATATCCAAGATGTGTGATGAAGCATACCTGTTTCATGTGTTACCTCTTAGATCAAGAATGATTCATACATTAAAAATGTTGAAAATTTTTTACTACCGTCAAAATGAAGGAATGAAGAATTGTTGGACTATGAAAATGAAGTTTATAGTTTCTGTAATCACTTTGATATACTTAAGACCAGTAATTTCTTAAAACGTTATCAAGTGAATAATATTGCATCAAGTTGGTATTCATCATGAACTGACATTAGTCGGAGGAATATTGGAAACCTGGGAGTACTGGACGACTGTTTCGTCCTAGTATGGGACTCGTCAGCAGTGCGCACACATGACTGCACCACGGATCGAGCCCAGGACTTTCGGGTTCCGTGACCAACACCGTACCAATGAGCTACTGGGTGGGAATCCAATGGTCCATATTTTGTATTTCTCTCAATCCACAAACCTTTAAATTGAATTTGGCATCGTTCTATGTACTGTAACCACTTATCTAATGTTGAATAATATTAAAAGTGTTAACATGATCCTTCCCTACTGATTTATCTATTGTATCTTATCTATGAAGGTTATCGGAACGGATTCATTGTCTCCAGTTGGTTTAGTGGACTATTCAGATGAAGAAAGTGAGGACGAAGATCAAATAAAGGATGAAAATGATCATAGTCAGTGTGAAGAAAACCACACTTCAGAGAATAATGTTGATGAATCTTATCACACTGCATCAGATGTTTCATCTAGTCAAGTTGTGACAGATGTTGTTTGATTGTACAAAGTTGAGTAATCATTCCTAACTTTCTTCTAGACAATAATGGGACGTATAAATGAACCATATCTGTGCCTTTGTCTTCACAACATGCAGGTTTTTTCTAGCAAGTGATTTCATTGTATTTGTTTAAAACATTAAGCTTCCAATCGTACTGGTTGAAAATACTGTAAACCACTTGTCATGCAATGGTTCTTCGTCCCTATTGTTTCAATTTCCATCTTCATTCAGTGCGCCAAACTCTTTTAATCTTTTCTATTTAAATAATTAGTGCGCATTCTGTACATAGAAATATGAATATTATGCGTCAATTAATTGGAAAGCAAAAAAAAACCCCGAGAATAATTTATGTAGAGAAAGTGAAAAATAGGTGTTTTTATAACTATAGGCATTTGCCTTTTGTAAATGCGCTTTGTTTGATTAATGTATAACTTTGTTTTCTTTGTAGTCACTACGTATATATTGTTTAAGGAGTTGTTTTTTTCCATGCCATAAATTGATATAAATGAATTACAATTTTTAAAGTCTAGTTGAGATGATATTTCTTCAAGTTTTTAATGCCTGGCTGTGTTGACACAGTTATACAATTGACAGTCACTCGATTGTTTTGCATCCTGAACTCCCTATCTGGTTGCGTGTAATTCGCTTATTCGCACCAGTTATTTGATGTACAATAAAAAATTGACTTACTAAGTGTTTATTGTTTTCTATTCAATAGTATATAATGGGTTTCTTCGGACGGGGAGTAATGTTCCTGCAAGAAAGCTTGCTTGTTGAGTTATAACCAAATACTCTTGTTAGAGAACGAGTCTGATGTTCCATATGAGTTGGACATGAGGTATGCTGTCTAAGCCGTACTCTTATTCAGTATCAGTTCCACTCGTTGTAATGGTGATTAGAACTGTGAATTTTTATTTATTACCACTACCAGTCCTCATTGAAACGTGGATTATGAAATGAAGGGTCTACAGTTAGTCTTTTGAAGGAAAAAGTGTTGAAGAAAGTAGCAAATCACTCAGGTAATGTCAACATTATACCTATTATTACTGCGTAAAAGTTTGAATTACCAGATCTCATATCAAATCAAGGCAGAAGGCACTGATAATAAAGGGAAGTAGCGAACAAGGCAGTTAAAATTTGCAGAAAGTGATGAAAGGAGAACAAGTAGACATGATAATTAAGATGGTGATATTGTATCAATATATCTGTCACACTACGATCGATTCTCAGCCGTATCACCTATAATCTCCAATCGTTTTTCTCATTTATCACGCGGACTCCTACCAGAAAGTCAGCATTTCCCTACACGGTACGAACTAAAAGTCAAGGAATGGTACTATGATTTTGCCTGGTCGTCTCTAACCTTCTACCAGTACAAAAACTGCTTCGATTGACTTACCTATTCTACCTGAAACCCGACGCGCTATGTCTACCTCACTGACGTGTTGGGACCAAGATAGCCTATACTGCTGGGCAGCGGTGGTTGAATACGTGAAACCTTCTATCTTTAATGGTCATGTTTCATAACCATGTAGTAGAATATAGCGAATTACGGTGCAGTACACTCGACTCTTTAAAAGACAATCGTAAATCACAGGGGCGCCACTGATGGTGAAAGTCGGTCGGTCCCTTTGCATCTATGCAGAGATTTCGTTGACTCGCCGACGCTGGAGCGACTTCCTGAATGAATAAAGTCAGCGTACTCAATCATTCCACTCCGTATTGTTAACCAAGGCATCGGTTAAGACTACTTATTATTATTATTATTATTATTATTATTATTATTATTATTATTATTATTATTATTATTATTATTAGTCCCTTGGGTTCCTAGCGGAACATAGGGCTTCAGTAGCACGCCTCCAGTGACCTCTGTTCTCTGAGATCTTTTGAACCTGGTTCCACGACAGCCCAGAAGCTCTCATTTCCTCCTCTCATGACCTCCTCCATGTCACCCTCGGACGTCCAACTCGTCGCTTCCCATGGGGATTCCACTCGAGGGCCTGACGCGTGATGTCCTCAGTCGGCCTTCTCAGTGCATGGCCAATCCATCTCCACTTCTTCTTGCATATTTGTTGTGTGATAGGTTCTTGGTTGGTTCGTTCCCAGAGTTCCTTGTTGCTTATTTTTTCTGGCCATCTGATCTTCAGTAGCGGAGCGTAAGCAGTTATTGATGAATGTCTGTAGTTTATTGGAAATGCCTTTCGTGACGCGCCAAGTCTCTGAACCATACAAGAGCACTGACTTGACGTTGGTGTTGAAAATCCGTATCTTGTTCCGCATGCTGAGTGCAGAAGATCTCCACACTGGTTTCAGGCTAATGAACGCCTGTCTTGCTTTTCCGATTCTGACTTTGACGTCCTCGTCCGTCCCGCCTGTAGTTGAAACAGTGCTTCCTAGATAAGTGAAGGAGGTTACTTCCTTCAAGTTTCTCCCGTTGACGGTGATTGGAGTTTGTTGTTGATGGTGGTGGTGCGGTATCTTCATCACTTCTGTCTTCTCTATATTCACCTGAAGTCCCGTCTTAGCTGCCTCTTCTACCAACTTGTTAGTTTTTGCCTGCAGATCTTCAAGTTTATGTGACATTAGGCATAAGTCATCGGCGAAATCCAAGTCTTCTAGGTTCTTTTCCGTCGTCCAGTGTATCCCCCTCTTCTCGCTGCCTACTGTTTGCTGCATGATCCAGTCGACCACAATCAAGAATATCATGGGGGATAGTAGGCAACCTTGTTTCACTCCTGTCTTCACTTCAAAGGCATCACTGAGCTTCCCATTGTGGATTACTTGGCATGTGGCATCTTCATATAGTTGTTGAATGAGGCGGATAAAGGTTTGCGGTACTCCGTAGTATTGAAGCAGTTTCCAAATTACTTCTCGGTCGACGCTGTCAAAGGCCTTCTCAAAGTCGATGAAGTTGAGGTATAGAGCTGATTGCCATTCTACGCTCTGTTCTATGATGATACGAAGCGTTGCAATTTGGTCAGCACATGATTTGTACTTCCTGAAGCCTGCCTGTTCCGGTCGCAGTTTTGAATCCAGTGCATCCTTTAGCCTCTCCAGGATGATGCGGCTTAATATTTTACTTGAGGTGGACAGGAGAGTGATTCCACGCCAGTTCTTGCAAGCACTGAGGTCTCCCTTCTTCGGGAGTTTGACAAGGTAACCCTTCTTCCAATCGTCAGGTACCTTCTCCTCCTTCCACACCTTCTGCAATAGTGGTGTGAGCATTTCCGCTGTTGTCTCTGCATCTGTTCTCAGTGCTTCTGGCGGTATTCCATCTGGTCCTGCTGCTTTCCCACATTTCAGTAGCTTTATGGCGTTCAGGACTTCCATTTTCGTTGGGGGATTTATGTTCACTTGTAATTCAGCGGCTGCAGGTGGTATTTCTGGACGAAGTGCAGGTGGTGGTCGATTCAAGAGCTTCTTGAAGTGGTCGGCCCATCGTTTCCTCTGTTTCTCTTCTTTTGTAATTAAATTTCCTTCTTCATCTTTTATTGGTTTCATCTGTGTTGGTCTCTTCCCTGATAGCAACCTGGTTATTTGATACAATGTCGTCAGGTCTCTGTCTCTCCTACCTGCAGCCTGTTCTGCTTCACTTGCCAGTGTGTCGTAGAAGTGTCTTCTGTCTTTGCGTGCACTCTTCTTCACTTCTTTGTCCAGTGTTTTATACATTGTGCTCAGTTCCTCTTGTCGTTGAGCATCCTTGCACTGGTTTATCTTCTGCTTCACCATCCTCCTCTCCTCTATCAGCTTCCATGTGTCCGTCGAGATCCATTCCTTGTCTTCTTTCTTCTTCCTTCCTAATACGGCTGTGCAGGTTTCTTTCCACATAGCTTTTAAAGACTTCCAGTGTTCTTCCACACAGGTTTGTTCAGGGATGTTGCTCGATGCCTCCCATTTTGTCTTGATGGCTGCCTTGAAGATCTCCTTTGTAGTTTCATCCTTCAGTTTCCGAGTGTTGTACTTGGGTTGAGGTCTATCACCAGCTTCCTTGAAGGCTTTTAACTTGATTTGGAAGGTTCCTTGCACTAGATGGTGAGTGGTCTGAACCTACATCTGCTCCTCTTCTTGACCTTGTGTTAAGTAGACTGCGTCTCCATTTTCTTGAGATTGAGATAAAGTCGATTTGATTTTTAGTGTGTCCATCTGGTGAAGTCCATGTCGCTTTGTGGATATCCTTGTGCCTGAACACACTGCCTCCAATCACCAAATCGTTGAATGCACAGAATTCTGCAAACAATTCTCCATTCTCATTCATTTCACCTAGCGCCTCTCGACCCATGGTTAGTTCTCTTCCTGTGTTGTCCGCTCCCAGTTTGGCATTCATGTCGCTCATCAGAATTTTGATATCGCCAACTGACGTCTTGTCCAGTGTTGATTGAAGTTGTCTGTAGAAATCCTCCTTTTTCTCTTGCTCTGCATTATTTGTAGGTGCATAACATTGTATGATTGTGACCTTTCTTCCTTTTGAGTTGAATCTTACTGTCATGATCCTGGAGGAGATTGGTTCCCACTGCATGAGAGCCTTCGATGCTCTTGAGGACATCATGATAGCCACTCGCTCAGTGTGCTCGTGGTTGGTGTCTGGGTGACCGGAGTAGATTATTGATTCTCCAGTTGACAGTTTGCAGAGTCCACTCCCATTCCATCTGCTTTCGCAAATCCCAAGCACTTCGATGTTATACCTTCTCATCTCCTTTGCAATCTGGGCTGCCTTACTGGGTTCAAACATGGTGCGGACATTCCATGTCCCCACGTTTACTTTCGCTTTCATCGAGAGAAGACACATCGGCCAATTGGCTTCCCGAAGGCTTTCACCAACTGGCGTCATTTCGCCTCTCCGATTCCAGTGAGGAATAAGTTTGTTTTCATTTTTTATATTTTGTTTGTGCTTTGAAGTTTCTTTAGCGGTTAGATTTGTTTTCCGGGGTAGGGTTGCTAGCCCTATGCCCAACCTTCCCTCTTTACCCGGGCTTAGGACCGGCTAGTAAACTAGTTAACCAGGCGAGGTTTTAAGACTACTTACGGAGCAACAATTCTCACTTGGGGTGGTGACAAAGAAGTGCATGAAATTAGGGACCTCCAGTTCAGCAGTCTACATGCTCCACTGGAAGATGAGAACGTCAAGTGTGTGTATCTCGATAGGACAGCACTTCTCTTCCCGATGGAGCCTGGCATGATATTCAGTTTGCTGTAGAAATAGCGATTGACGCAATCGGATCCCTACAACCTCATCTGAACTGACTGGTATGAGAAAATTTATACCAGATAACTGACCAAAATGAAGAGTGAAGTTAAATTAAACTAAAACTGTTATGATGCAACTCTCCGAGACGAAAACGATTAACGATAGAACAATGACTTCTCAACTCGATATTCAGCTGACACCAAAAGAACACGATGAGACTGAAAATTTATTCACTTTAACCGAATCAATGTAAGTGAAAACTCAGTCGTTTATTTATCCTTCGATGGCCTTGGCCAGAGGAAACAAAATAGCATATTCAAAGTGTTAAATGGACCAATCAGCATTTAGTATCCTAAACTGCGGTCAAAGTGAAAATAAAAAACAACATCTGGCAAAAAGTGCGCGAAAATAAGGTTTAATTAAACATTACAATGATAATATCACAGGGATTGGCCATCCCTAACAAAAAGTGGCGGAAGTATAGGGACTGTAAGCTCAGGTTAA